ACAAACCAAACGAAACCAAAGCCATACTCGTACTAAAAGGCAGGAGGCTACCGGGAGTGACAGAAAACGGGGAAACTTTAGAAGGAACCAGGAACCCAATCCTAAACAAGAAACAAGGGTTAAGCATCTAGTCCTTTATTCACCCCAAGCAAGGTGATAATGCCACTAAGATGCAAGGGAAGTGAAAGAGAATAAGAAGACTTTAGAAGGAACCAGGAACCCAATCCTAAACAAGAAACAAGGGTTAAGCATCTAGTCCTTTATTCACCCCAAGCAAGGTGATAATGCCACTAAGATGCAAGGGAAGTGAAAGAGAATAAGAAGACTTTAGAAGGAACCAGGAACCCAATCCTAAACAAGAAACAAGGGTTAAGCATCTAGTCCTTTATTCACCCCAAGCAAGGTGATAATGCCACTAAGATGCAAGGAAGTGAAAGAGAATGAGAAGACTTTAGAAGGAACCAGGAACCCAATCCTAAACAAGAAACAAGGGTTAAGAAACCTTTATTCACCCCAAGGGTTAATGCATTAAGATGCAAGGGAAGTGAAAGAGAATAAGAAGACTTTAGAAGGAACCAGGAACCCAATCCTAAACAAGAACAAGGGTTAAGCATCTAGTCCTTTATTCCCCCAAGCAAGGTGATAATGCCATTAAGATGCAAGGGAAGTGAAAAGAGAATAAGAAGACTTTAGAAGGAACCAGGAACCCAATCCTAAACAAGAAACAAGGGTTAAGCATCTAGTCCTTTATTCACCCCCAAGCAAGGTGATAATGCCACTAAGATGCAAGGGAAGTGAAAGAGAATAAGAAGACTTTAGAAGGAACCAGGAACCCAATCCTAAACAAGAAACAAGGGTTAAGCATCTAGTCCTTTATTCACCCCAAGCAAGGTGATAATGCCATTAAGATGCAAGGAAGTGAAAGAGAATAAGAAGACTTTAGAAGGAACCAGGAACCCAATCCTAAACAAGAAACAAGGGTTAAGCATCTAGTCCTTTATTCACCCCAAGCAAGGTGATAATGCCATTAAGATGCAAGGGAAGTGAAAGAGAATAAGAAGACTTTAGAAGGAACCAGGAACCCAATCCTAAACAAGAAACAAGGGTTAAGCATCTAGTCCTTTATTCACCCCAAGCAAGGTGATAATGCCACTAAGATGCAAGGGAAGTGAAAGAGAATGAGAAGACTTTAGAAAGAACCAGGAACCCAATCCAAACAAGAAACAAGGGTTAAGCATCTAGTCCTGTTCAAATAAACGGGGAGGAAAATGAACGGTTAATGTTTTTTTACTGAGACTTTCAAGAATAACTTTCTATCAGATTTGTGAAGGACAAACCATCTGAGGAAACAGAGAAGGTCATCACCGCGAGGTTAACACCGTCCCAAAACATTGAACTGGACTTGGGGAATAAGATAGCAAGAGGAACCTGTTAAATGTCGATGAGAACGTAGCTTTCTCTTCATACGTGAGGGATATTATCGATTCAATTCATATCCGTCAGTGGCGCTACCTCCTTTGTACACAGTGATCCGAAAGTCCTGTCAACGCCTGCCAATATGTAATGAGAACAATAGAAAACGAGAAATACAGTAATACAAAGCAAATATACTCGATTCAGTTTATTGACTTTCATTGGTGCTGTCATACACCGGGAACGTCTGTAGGATTAGCATCATTTTCATGAAATAGAAGATATTATGTAAGTGCATTTTGAATATCTGACCACCTTGTACTGTTCTGATTCATCTTTTCTCTTCTTGCTCATTATTAATGTTTCTGTTCCTAATTCTTCTACACCTATTAACCCTTCGTGTCTTAGTGGCTTTCTGACTTGTATGGGGTAAGACCAATTAATAAAAAAATGGCTCCAGAGAGAATGCTTTCCTAATTACCCTGTGGAGCATAGTACTTGGTTACATGGCACCAGTAATATAATCAGTTCCAATAGCAATTGTAATAAGCCAGATTTTCTGCTGTGAAACGATTTATAATTTGGCAAGGAATATTGACAAAAGTCTCTTTCTATAGCCTGGTCCGAAAGTATTGTCACCCTACATTAAAAAGCATAATGACAACAATAGAAGAACAAGTAATATAGCAATGCTTGAAGGTCTGTATGAAGAGCATCATTTTCATGAAATAGATATTATTTACGGGTGACAAGACTTTCGGACCATCCTGTACTCTCCTTCCGATATCTTTTTTTTTCTCTCCCTGGTGATTATTAATTTTTATTTACCTATAACATAATCAGTTCCAGTACCAATTATAATATACCATATTTGCTGCTATGAAACATCAGTCTATAATTTGGCTAGGAATATTTATGAAAGACTCTTTCGATAGGGTGGTCCGAAAGTCTTGTCACCGTCTACATAAGAAAAAGTAATGAAGACAATGGAAGAACAAGTAATACAAATCACATTTACCGGATTCCAATTTCATTGACGATGTCATAACTCGAAAAGATCTCTATGAACATCATCATTTTTGTGGCACAAAATGGTGCGATGCCATGTCCTGGGTGATGTGCGTTGCTGATTTTTGCAAAGGCTCTCCAAAAAGAGTCCTTCAACTGGTGGGTATTCTTGTATCGTTCGTGTGAAACTCTCTCCTTGAGAATACCCCAAACAGCATCGAAATAGAAAATTATATTATGTAAGTTTGACGGGACTTTCGCACCAGCCTGTACATCGTTAAGACACATCACACACATTGAGAGTCCAATGATGGCATTGCATCATATCCCAGAAGAACATACGTCGCACGTGCCTATGCATGACCCGGCGTGTCAAGAGACCTTCGGTAACTGCGCATTGCCATGTACGTTTCTGATGTAATGAATATGCATACATCTTGGTTCCCCGTCAAAGTCATATGATTGGCTGGTGTCAGCCATAAATACAGACTGATGTGGAGGTACAGGGACGCCTAAATGAGGACGCCTATTGATTACGCCTATTGCCTACGTCTATTGCCTACCACTACGACGAGGACCAGTCCATTATGGTTACCTGCTAGATTGTCCTAATCGGTTACGGTAGTCAACAACCACTTTGCTACTTCGAAATGTTTTCTATACAACATAATAATACGCCGGGAATTTTGAAACACAAAAATAAAAAAAATAAAAAATGGTAAAAGATATAATCAAAGAGAAAGAAAGTTGAAATTTCTTTGGACATATAATGAGGGTGGGGGAAAGCCTAAAGAATCTGACACTCACAGGATATATTGACGGCAAGAGGTAAGGTGAAAGCTGCGAGATTTTGTAAGTGGATGGCAGATCATGGGTTGGGAGAAATAACGAAAAGACAAACCTTACTAAAACCTACAGAAAAGGGAAAGTTGTGGAGCCCCATGTTCACCAACGTCATGATGGACACGGCGCAAAGAAAAAAGAACGTCGGCGGCGATCGATGCCAGTAACTGAAGCGAAACGGAGTTATTTGTGGAAATATTTCGGAAGTAATGTACGCAAAGCTAGAATTTGTCGAAAAATACGGTAATTTCATGTGCGTTTTGGTGTAATGGAAAAGTCACAAAATGAAAAATTGAAATTCCAGTCAGATTCTTTAAATTCACTTAGGCACAAATATCCTTGGGAAAAGCAATGAAACCATCTCTTTCCCGCAGCTACGGATTAAATAACAGGATAGATTGGGGCCTATATCTTTGGTTTGGTTTGTTTTGTTTTACAGCATATCAACCTCAATAGGTTATTTAATGTCGAGAAAATTTTCATTGGTAATATTTTTTGTTCCAAAAATCAATTTCTGGTAATTTTCGTTTGCTGATAATATTTGTTTTTCAAAAATGTATAGCTGGTAATATTTTATTTTTAAATGTATAGCTGGTAATATTTTATTTTTAAATGTATTGATGGTAATATTTTATTTTTAAATGTATTGATGGTAATATTTTATTTTTAAATGTATAGCTGGTAATATTTTATTTTTAAATGTATCGATGGTAATATTTTATTTTTAAATGTATAGCTGGTAATATTTTATTTTTAAATGTATTGATGGTAATATTTTATTTTTAAATGTATTGATGGTAATATTTTATTTTTAAATGTATTGATGATAATATTTTATTTTTAAATGTATTGATGGTAATATTTTATTTTTAAATGTATTGATGGTAATATTTTATTTTTAAATGTATAGCTGGTAATATTTTATTTTTAAATGTATTGATGGTAATATTTTATTTTTAAATGTATTGATGGTAATATTTTATTTTTAAATGTATTGATGGTAATATTTTATTTTTAAATGTATAGCTGGTAATATTTTATTTTTAAATGTATTGATGGTATTATTTTTTTACAAAGTATTTATGTTATTAAGACCTATTTTTACACTTTCATAGTGCTTTGACCCCATTTTGTGGCTTAAGTCTTTGCCCATAGCTGGGACCCTTACAAGCAACAGCAAATAAGAGATGGTTCCACGCTCCTCAAAACTTCCTGCTCAGAGGTCTTTCAGTTGGACGTAGTTTATCGTCTTACCCAGGACGCGGACGTAGTTTATCGTCACACCCAGGACGACCTATAGCTTTGGGTCGCAAGCAGTCTACCGTAGAAAGAAAAACCATCTGCCAAGTTATTCCCGAATCGAAAGAAATTTGAACGCCGAAAACAATTATCATGTATAGCAGTTAGATGGCAGACTGTTTATTTATACGAAAAAAATAGAAAAGACATTTCTGCTGCACATAGGAAAATATAGAATTAATTTTAAAATAAACAGCAGTGTTATATACATTATGAAGTAAATATCCTTCAGATATTTTATCTGTATATCAATTAAAAGGGAAACTAAATCATTTGATCTCATGTTAAGTTGGGTATGAAACAAAATTAAATTATTGTTCAAATGAATGACATCTGTTTTTTATTATTAAACGCTGAATACATTCACAGCGTAATATTCGGTGTGAATTTCGTCTTATTTTAATGTACATGCTTTTTACATCTCAAAATTCATACCGATGTATTTTCGTGTTAGTCACGATTTCTTCATGTCTATCTATCTATCTATCTATCTATCTATCTATCTTAGTCTTTTGATGCCTATCCCTGTCTCTGTCTCTCTGTCTCTCTCTCTCTCGCCTCTCTCTCTCTCTCTCTCTATATATATATATATATATATATATACAAAAGTGAACATTGAAGTCAACACTACTAGGCGACAGGCTATTTCATGCCAGAAGCAATCGTCAGGCCGCCCTAACGCCAGGCCTGACGATTGCGTCTAGTATGAAACAGCCTGTCGCCTTGTAGTGTTAATTCATATTTACATACGCTCTCTCTCTCTCTCCCACTCTCTCTCTCTCAGATTGATCTCTTTATCCCCAAAATATAGCAAAATTGTTCTCCGCTGTAAAGGCCTTTAATTTTGCGAAACAAGTGTGGAGAAGTTATTTTGATTGTTCAATTTCAACTGAGAAGGGGACCTACAAGTATCAGTATCATCTTATGAAATTTATATGATCTTATTTTTATATCAATCTCAGTTATGACATTTTTCCATAAATGAATAAAATGAATGGAAATACAAATAACAGAGTAAAATGTAATAAATGTACATAAAATTATAGTATATGTACATTTCTGATAAAATTTCGTAAGAAAGCTACCTATAAATTAATTAGATACGTTTCTTATGAAATATGAAATTTAATCTCACTCTTAACAGTCTTATTTTAATTTCTTTATAATATATTTCCCATAAAGCATCGTAATCGTAAAGGTGAAAGCTCAGTACAAAAAAAATTAGAGCGCTGAAAGATTCCCTTAAAAATAACGAGCTAAATAATTTGTTCATTTAAATATAAATTATTCCACTTTTCTCCTTCCGTAAAAAAAATTATCCTCACGGAATCCGTCAATATGTCACTCATCACCTGTCAAGTGACGCGAAAATTTATGACCTGCTTTGTTTTATTTTCAAATTACATCTTTTCGGCGGAGAAGCTAATTTAAGCTTGGTTCAAAATATTTTAAATAAACATTATAATTTCTGATTTTCTTAAAATAATTTTGAAAAAATGATAATTGATATTTAAAAGAATTTCAAAGTGAGATTCCCAGTTTTTTTATAAAATGGAAAAAAAAATGATCAATTTTCCTGACTCAAAAAAAAATAAAAATTTTTTACGAAAATTTCGGACGTGCTACGAACGATTAAAAAATATAAACAAAATACCCAAAAAATACGTTGATATGTCCTCTTAATAATAACATAAACATTTAGACGATAAAATTTTGTTTTCATCAAGTTTGTCGTCTTTTTTCATCACGCTATGATATCGTGAAGGTACCTAATATATATATATATATATATATATATATATATATATATATATATATATATATATATATAAATTATTTATTTCAAAATTATAACATATTTATGTTATAAAATCATTAAAAAATAGCCATTTTGTTTCAACATGTCTGGTGTCTTTTCTTGGATATATATATATATATATATAATTATTTTTATAAAAAAAATTATAACATAAGTATGTTATAAAATCACTACAAAAATAGCCATTTTGTTTCAACACTCTGTGTCTTATCAAGTGATGATGTTGAAAATAAAATAAATGGTTTTAAAAGTTTCAGATTAATTAACGATCCTACACTAGGGGAAACATTGTTACAAAAGCTAGAATAACCAATCAAAAACGAAGTATAGAAAGATTCAAAAGTGTGTGTGTGTGTGTGTGTGTGTGTGTGTATGTGTGTGTGTGTGTGTATATGTGTGTGTATCTAATTATGTCTGGATGCTTATGTATTATAATCTGATTGTGTTTTTGTTGTGTCACACGAGTTTAAGACCATATTCACAAACTTTAAAATAAAAACGGAAAAGAAGGGAAAAGAGAAAATATATATACATGTATTATCAAATGACCGGATGTATTGTAGCGTCTGGTCTTCTCGAACGTAATTTCAATGAAGAAATGAATTGAATAAACACATATATTTTTTTTTTTATCAATAATTTTGTAGTTTTTAAACTTAATAGTGATTAAATTTGGTTTTAAAATTGCCAGTTTTTAATTTTAATATTAAATTTTATCATGTAAATTTATAATTATTAGTTAGTATAAATTATTTTTAATATTACACGTATTTAAAGATATGAATAGCTATTAGAGCAGGATTTCGTTGTCAAGCTTTTGAATCTTTCTATACTTCGTTTTGATTGGTTATTCTAGCTTTTGTAACAATGTTTCCCCCCAGTGTAGGATCGTTAATTAATCTGAAACTTTTAAAACCATTTATTTTATTTTCAACATCATCACTTGATAAGACACAGAGTGTATTGAAACAAAATGGCTATTTTTGTAGTGATTTTATAACATACTTATGTTATAATTTTTTTTATAAAAATAATTATATCTGCTCTACTTTGTATTGAGCACTCTTTTAAGAATAGTAATTGTTGGTTGTTGGAATTCATTCCGTGTATACCAATTATATACTTTGATATATATATATATATATATATATATATATATATATATATATACACGAGATTGGATCAATAAATTCGAAACCTGCAACGTAATAATTGCCTAGATTTTCACTCTATAATCTATACAATTAGTATTCACCAGTGAATTAAGGGCATTAACAAGGAAGGTCTGTGAAGAGAGGTATCGAGAAACAATTCACAATTGCACCACTCAATTTAATTTTTGTATCATGTACTTCATCTGATTTTTACATAACCCATTTCTCAATAGCACTGACTAAAGGCAAAATATTAATCAACATTATTGTATCTTTAATAATCTGTCTTAAGTTGGAATCATGGTTCTAAAGTTTATCGTTGAAAATCCAGATGCTCCAGGGTTATTCTTGCTAATTCAAGAACAAATCTATAAAGTTGCTTCGGGCCAGATCGGATCTTTAATTAGGAAATACCTATTGGGTTCTGAAATCGATCTTACAGACAGGAATCTCAGAAAGGAACTGCGTCTTTATTCACATTTCAGCTGTCATTTTATTCTGTCTGTTACGCCTGCATTAATTGCGAAACTTTCCCTCCTTATTTACAATGAATTATTTTACGAAAATACACTAAAAATATATTTCTGTAGTAAAATATCCCAAGTAAAAATATAGATTAAAACAGCATTCGTTTCTTTCCTTCCTTTTTCCGACTCTTTATTAGTTACCACCTTCTTTCATACATGTCGAATTTAACAATTACAATTCAAGCAAATCTATCTATCTATCTATCTATCTATCTATCTATCTATCTATCTCAGTTTTTAATGTCTATCTCTATCTCCCCCTATCTATCTCTCTCTCTCTCTCTATATATATATATATATATATATATATATATATATATAAAAGTGAACATTGAAGTCAACACTCAGAAGCGAGACGTAAGGGCGGCCTGATGATGGCGTCTAGCAGGAAACTGCCTGTCGCCTCTGAGTGTTGATTTATATTTACATACGCTCTCTCTCTCTCTCTCTCTCTCTCTGATATTGAGCACTTTATCCCCAAAATATATTAAAATTTAAAACTATATATATATATATATATATATATATATATATATATATATATATATATGTATCAGTCTGATCATATCTATCTATCATAAGTTTTTTCATACCTATCTATCTATTTCAGTCAGTTGATTATCTATATATTTATCTATCTCAGTTCATTATCTATCTATCTATCTATCTATCTATCTATCTATCTATCTATCTATCTATCTGTCAGTTCATTATCGATCTGTGTGTGTGTGTATATATATATATATATATATATATATATATATATATATATATATATATATTTATATATCTGTCTATCTCAGTCACATCTCTATCTATCTCATTCATTTCATCATCAATCTATATATCGATCTATCTCATTCAGTTCTTTATGTATCTATCTCAGTTCGTTATCTATCTATCTATCTATTTATCTATCTAAAAGACAATCTATCTTTAATTGTAAAAGACAATTGTGGATATTTTCAATCAAAAAACTTTAATTTATTTAAACAAAGTAACTAATAATAACAAAAACAAAATGTCCATTGGAAGAATTTAGGATATTTTCAATCAAAACTGAAATTAATTTATTTAAACATTATCTAGTAACTAATATCTATCTGAACAGTTCAAATCATATCATCTATGTCCTATAATCATCTGGAAGAATTTATTAGAAGACTATTTTCTATCTACTGTTATCTATCTATCTGAACATTCATTATCTATCTATCTATCTATCTACTATCTATCTATCTGAGACAGTTCATTATCTATCTATCTATCTGATATATCTATCTATCTATCTATCTGAGACAGTTCCTTATCTATCTATCTATCTATCTAGTCATATCTATCTATCTATCTATCTGAGACAGTTCATTATCTATCTATCTATCTATCTATTATCTTCATTATCATCTATATATCTATCTATCTGAGACATTCATTATCTATCTATCTATCTATCTATCTATCTATCTATCTATCTATCTATCTATCTATCTATCTGCCTTCGTAAGTTTTATTCTTTCTTTCACAGGTGAGAGAAAATTAACGTTTTTACTTGTAGCCTCCACCTTGACTGGCTCTCGAGTCTTGCAATGTTTGTCTGAAAATATAATTTTCCCACTGCTTTTTTTATGTCTGAAATGCAAGACTGAATTACAAAGCAGAAAAACAATCTATGTAACGCGTTTCAGGGTTAAAAAGTAAATACTATGACTAAAACCTTAAAAAGCGAAACTCGTGGCATATTATTTACATAGAGGAGGTACTATGTTACTTCTCCAGAGACGAATCTATCAAATCTAAAGAGAAAGTTTAACTCCAACAACATTTTCACAAGAAGTTCTTCTTTGTGGAAGAAATGTTCAAGTTGGCGTTTCATTGATGTTTTCAACATTGACCTCTTCAAGTCAAGGATTGATCATCGTCTATCCCCCTTATCCTCATCATCTTCAATTTCCTACCAACTTTTCCCCTATCAATATTCACAATTTATCTTTTCTCTCTAACCCTCTACATTGAGTGGCTCTTGGGGTTTTTATTGGGTGAAATTCAGCAAAAAAGAAATTCTTCCATCGATTCATGGCGGCTAGCAATCAATTTACCTTTTTCACTTTAATTCTATCGTAAAGTCCCGAGCTGTGATTTCAAGTTGGCCGTATTTCTAAATACCTCTGCGTTAACTCCTGAAAACTTCTTACATATTGATATTCAATGCAGTTTTGAGTAGAGAATGACATACACATATTGTGTATAATGTGGTGAAACGGTTAATAAATTTGCCCTGCTAGATCATTTTTTAAGCATATCATCCTCAAGCAAGGCGGAACTGCTACTAACACGCAACAGAGAGCGAGATTAAAGAGGCGTGTTTGAGGAAAGGAAAAAAGAAAAGAACCGGGATCAATATCAAAGCATTAGAAGATGCAGATTGACATTACATTTGAATATTTAAATATTATAACTACCAGAGAAGCAACTAAGAGGAAGGGAGTTTTACTGTCGGGAAGTGTAAGAGAAAAAAAGCTGTAGGCGTAGAAGAGGCGGCTACATTTAAATGTTTCGGTAGTGGAAGTGTAGCACTGAGATGCATAAATATAAATAAATTTGATAAATAAATGCTTTTTGGATGTAATATGTTTGAACTATTATTTAAATCTGGATATTTTTTTAAGCAAATCACCCCCAAGCAAGGTGGAATTCCGACTAGCACACGGGGGGTTACAGACAATGAAAGCAAGAGTAAAGAGGGTTGTTTGAGGAAAGGATAAGGAGAAGGACGGCTATCAAAATCCAAGCATCAGAAAATGTCAATTGACATTATATTTGAATATTTAAAGATTATAGCTATCACAGAAGCAACTAAGAGGAAAGGAGTTTTACTGTCGGGAAGTGTAAGAGAAAAACGCTGTAGGCGTAGAAGAGGCAGTTATATTTAAATGTTTCGTCAGTGGAAGTGTAGCACTGAGATGCATAAATATAAATAAATTTGATAAATAAATGCTTTTTGGATGTAATATCTTTAAACTATTATTTAATGCTGGATATTTTTTAAGAAAATCACCCCCAAGCAAGGTGGAAGTCCCACTAGCACGCAGGGTGTTACAGAGAATGAATGCAAGATAAAGAGGGTTGTTTGAGGAAAGGATAAAGAGAAGGACGGGTACCAAAATCCAGGCATCAGCTTTGTGAATTGAAATCAATTTTATTTCATGAAAAATGACAAGGAATTAGATTTACAGTCAGAGTTTTTGTCACCTTAAGTTTTGAAGTCTCGTAAAATTTGTGATTTGAAGAACTAAACACAATTGAAGTTACATTGAGTTTCTGATTTGAATAACTCATTTTTCGGCCTGTATTGGAATTTCGTCCCAGATCGGTCTTCTGAGCAGAACTGGATTTATAACCCAAATCAGAGTTAAAGCGAACTATGGAGTGAACTGAAGAATTCAAAGTTACTGCTTCTAAATTATCATTGCTGTTTTCTAATCTGGGTTCTTTTCTGTTAAATCTTTCGAAAATAAATAGAAATAATATTCACGAAAATCCACACCAAAATTTAGAAATGTCCATCATAACTTGTTCAAAAATGCACTTACTGTAATATTTTACCTTACGTCTCCAAAGGAAGACTAACAAATAAGAGTCTATGATGGTGCGATGAGTCCCGAAGAAACCAGGCGATTTCGATTGTTTGCGCGCATGCGCTGATGTTGTTTGGATCAACGAAATACAAATTGTGATTTACAGTCAGATGATTATGACTGGGATCATCCTTCAAAGATGAATATTCGTTTCTACAATCCGGCATCATCGTTGTTAAAAAAAAAATCAAACAAACATTGAGGTAAAATTTTAATTTTAAAAGCATGCCAAAAATTAAATAAAAAAAATACAAACTTAAAAAAAAAGATTTAAAATTTATAATTTCTTGAGGTGAATTATACGTGCGATAAGTAACTTTACATTACTCGGTGTGAATGAACAGAAACGATCATGTAGCTGGACCAGACGTCACTTTCGGTTTGGGCCGCAGATCCAGTTAATCGATCGTATGAGCTAGCTTAAAAATCCACACGGTGTGCGGCCTTTAAGCTAGTATAAATATGTATCAGATAAGCAAGAAGAAACAGGCAATTAAATTACACTTACGTAGTTTGTAATGGGCACATGAATAAACATCTTTCTTGTCCATATGGGTAGAACGTTCGCATTCAGACCATGAGGCCCGGGTTCGAATCTCACCATCGTCGATTTGACACGAAGGATCGATCCCAGCATGCGGTAGATTTGGACAGTACAACGGTTTGACCCAAGCCTTATGAGTGAATTTGGGTCGAAGTGTTGAGCGTGCTGGCCGTCATCACGCTAGCGTGATCACGGCCAGCACGCTCAACACGCTCTCTCTCAGAAACTGTAACTAAGGTCTGCTAATCATAGTTGCAGTATAAACCACAGATAAAGACAAATGCGTCTGCCGCCCTCGGAGATTGGTATCCTCGAATACGAGTGGCCAGCTGTAGGTCTAAGAGTTAGAAAGATTATCTACCTAGGTGTCCTAGGTAGATAATCTTTTATATTGAGCTTCGGTTATCACGTTGGTGCCTGAGAAACCAGGCGGAGTTGAAATGAAAAGTTAAAAATCGATGATTTTAATCTTTAACAAAGACCAGCGGAAAAGCAATCAAATAACTTTTGGCAGCGTTCGACAAAAACTATGATTTATTTCTGCAAGTCATTAAGCCTAAAATAACTTCGTAAATCTCTTTCTCTACTTATCTTTAAATTATTCTGGTCGTCTACATGTTTTTTTATTTTCAATTCAGAGTTTGGTCGATTTTTTTTTTAATTTGCTCGGTGATTAAAAGGCGTGTTAAGATTTGTTATTTCTTTAATATATTTGAAATTACTGCTTTCTTTTCTGCGTTTCCCGCGGTAAAAAAAAGAAAAAAGATCGTCAGATGATAATTGTCAATAAATTAAAAATTAAAGAAAAAACGGAAAAAGGTGAAAGGTCTTCGTACATCATAATTTTCTTAAAGTTGTTCTCATTTTTTGTGTGTGTGTGCGTGTGGAAAGGGTATACACCAGTGGTTAGCAACCAGGTGTCTCTGATTAGAGTAAATACTGAAATGAAAACGAGCTTCCCTGCGTACATCTTTATTTCGACTACGTAACAATCTATTCAAACAAGATAAAAGACACACAGATACGTCTTGTTTTTAGAAAGACATTAATTTTTGATCTGATATTTTTAGTACTTTTTACCGTACCTTTAGTCGATACCCAAGTTTGAAATAGATGTCTCCGTTCTATTTTTTTGATATCATATCATATCGTCGCATAGAAAACTTCTATGTAAACATGACAGAATATATTTTTTGGTGATGACGATCTTTGTTTAAATATCCATATAACAACACTGATATCTATTCACACATACACACAGTAAAAAGAACCTTCGATATTGGAGGCTATCTACATTAAAACGAAGCAACCCACACTCAACAAAATTACATTGCAAATTAGTCACAACACATTACATTGCATCTAGACATTGTTTCTGTTGTAATACTTCGGTTTATCGCGTGGTAGGACGTCCTAGAACCGATTCTTGAACTTACGATCTGCGTCAGTCATTCCGCGACGGTTATCGTCACATAGCAATCTTCTATGTCATAATATCAAAATATCATCTTTGACGGTGGATATCTTTGTTTCATGTCTGTATAAACGCTCTGAAGATGACTCGTGTGTGCCGAAACCTTAGATCAAAAAACAGCATTATAAAAATTATCCGAATGTTAAACTTTTTTTGTTTTTATTTTCTTCCTAAATTAAAGCAATTATACGAAGCTTAGAACGGCTCATGGTCAAACATAATAGACATTAGTTGTCTTTTATATGTAACAATATGTATTTAAATAATGATCTGCTACCTCATATATATATATATATATATATACGCAGATGCGAATTGAGTCACTGTTGGTCACTGGGCGTGTTTCTAAAAATAAATACGCTAAAAATCCACTTTCATCCGACGGCTTAATGTTTAGAATCTCCGACTGACACCAAATCAGTCGGGTTTCGATCCTAGCTAGAGGCAACCGGATGTCTAGCCACACTGATGAGCTGTGAAACAGCGAAATAGTCTGTCTGTGGATGACGTTATATATATATATATATATATATATATATATATATATATATAATAAAAAAAATGACAATAGGAAAACTAGTAATTGCTGACGCGTTTCGTCCAATGTGGACTTTATCAAAGCAAAATGCGAAATGAATCTAATTGAACAAGGTAACTAATAAAAACAAAAAAAAAACAGAATGTTCTTAGTAACTGGAATGTAGAGAATGCTATTTTCATATTGTTAACTGAAAATATCGTCAGTATTTGTCACGTGTAGAAAATATTGTCATTATATCTGTGTTGATGTATTCAACCATTTTCTTTTGATTTAATGTATCTGTTGTGTACGTTTGTTTGTGAGAGCAGTAATTTTGTTAAGAAAGTTGAAATGGGGAAAAACTTTGGGCGTAGATTAATATTTGGGTAATATTCTATGGCAGCACTCTCTAGAATTTTCCTTCTGAATGAGTTATTTTCTTTTTTTATGAGTGTAGCATTTTTAAAATCAAAATTATGGTTGAATTTATTTCTATGTATGACTAGTGAATTAGCTAAATTTGTTTTTTGTGAGGTCTCTTTTGTGCTTATGAATGCGTTTTTTAAACTTCTACTTGTTTCTCCAATGTACTGGGAGGAACAGTTTTGACATTTTATTTTATAAATGCCTGCTTCAGAAATATTATTGCTATTAGTGATTGAAGATCTTAGTATATCCAGAATGGATTTGCCGCCATAGAATATTACCCAAATATTAATCTACGGCCAGGATTTTTCCCCATTTCACCTTTCTTAACAAAGTTAGTAGGTATCTATTTGAGTTCAAAACTATCTATCTATCTATGGCAGTTCGTATCTTCTATCTATCTATCTATCTATCTATCTATCTATCTATCTTCATCCCTGCCGTGCACCAACGAATTAGTGGTAGAATCTCCGACTGACGCCAATTTAGTGGGGTTTCAATCCTAGCTAGAGGCAACCGGACGTCTAGACATACTGATGAGCTGTGATACAGCGAAACCGTCTGTCTGTGGATGAAAATATATATATATATATATATATATATATATATATATATATATATATATATCTTCGTTCATATATATCTCCCTCTGTCCACATGTATCTATCTATCTCCCACATTCTGCTCATATCTATGTACCACAGTCTGTTTATATCTATCTATCTATCTATCTATCTATCTATCTAATTCTGTTCATATTTACCTCATTCTGTCCATGTCTCTCTATCTACATCTGTCCATATCTATCTATCTATCTATCTATCTATCTATTTTTCCTTTTCTTTCTTTTTATTGCTCGACATATCTGTCCTTATAGTATATTTACCTGAATTATTAACAATATCGAGTACATGCCAGCGCAGTCATCGAGCCAATCTTTTATGTTCATGATTCTTTCGGCTTTGAAGTTGCACATTAATTCAGTTCAGATGCACCAGGCGTCGTAAATATTTTAACCAATGTCGGCTAACATCACATTCTCCTCGACCGTTCGTTATTAGATACTCATCATGTCGCCCGATTGGCTTTATACCCTTGTCAGGTTAAAGAATTACAGAAGGTGAACGGACACCACGAATGCTATAGGAAATAGAGAGGACGAAACAAAGAATGGCATTGAGGGATATTTGTAGCTAGTCGTAAACGGAGAGGGATGTTAAAGAAATTGCCTTTACAATTCAGCCGTTCATGGAAGTCAAATGATGTTCCTAAATATCCCCGTGTTTAGGGTACTGTGCACTTTCCCACTGAATAAAGGGCACCATCTTAGTTGGCCTCTCACCTTACGTGTAAGAAACTATCACTAGCTGACAACAGCTGTAACTGATTGACGGCATAATGGCATAAGCTCAACCAGGAGAACGTCCTTTCGGGAGCAAACTCACACAAAAGTGGATAAGTGGTGACCTCTGAAATCTTGAGCTCCCTTCCAGCTTCCAGATCTTCTCCTACAACAACTGCGTAAAAAAATATTTCTCCCGTAATTGATTCACTGTTGTGAATAGGGCCAGCAGCAGATATATAAAACAATCTTAAACTTTTGTCAAGTTCTAAACTAATGATTACATAAACGTATGTCTATTCGACGGCATAGGAGCCAACCTTTATTCTTCTGCACAAATGATTTAATTTCTCGCTGTACACTTAATATACAATGATTTTGATAATGGAAATGGTATTCTGGAAGATAGTTTTCTCTAGTCCAAGAAGTGTTCGAGTACGGATGGTAGCTTCCTTTCTAACATTTTGTTCGAAATAATGTGGAATGTGACCACGTTGATCATGTCACTAATTTATCTTCGAGTTACATGTGATAGCCATTTTTTTCTGCTTTTGAAAGCAATCCATTTTATTTTATTTCAATCTGTTCTTCGTTTTTGAATCTGCAGCTTCTTCAGGTTATAAGAATTAAAATCTTCATTAGGATCTACATATGTTTTTCGGTCAACCCTATTATAACCATTGGCCTGAGAAAGCGCTCCTATATAGCCGGGTAGAATGGGTTTGACGAAAAGCTAAACATTCGATCAGACAAAGCTATTTAAAAACGTGCTTCCGTTGTGTAGCTTAACGACTTGGATTGCGTACCAACGTGCAGTATTGTGTGAAACTGCTACTAACGCAGCCTATTCTATATGAAACTACTTATCCGCAATACTAAATTACAGTTCATAGTTTCTATATTGCATTTATATTATGATTCATGTTTATTCATTTTCACATTAATTCAGTCACTTTCTCTTCGAACGTTCATTATTAGATACATATCATGTCGCCTGACTTGCTTTATGCTATTGTCATGTCGACTGCGTTTAGGCATGAAACAGACTCTCGCTGCTGGATGTTGAATGTCTACCTCATATTTATATAGTCTATCCCTTATATATTTATATATATATATATATATATATATATATATATATATATATATACACACACATTTTAAAACTCATATATATATATATATATATATATATATATATATATATATATATACAGAATTGAATATACACAGAAACCGTTTATTTTATTAAACATGTAATTTATACAAATGAAATAATTATAAATCGTCATAAATTTAATAACAATTCTAGCAAGGACCCTTCTAGGCATGCTAGAGATGTTCAAATATCATCTTGAGGGATTTCTTGCCATGTTTGACCGGGGATTCAGGGCTTGGCCATGGCTCCCTGTTCTTTTTGAAGTTTTTTGATCTAATATCCAATATTTATCCGGGGATTGACTCAACCAATGTTTATTGATCCCATTTTGTCTCAACCAATGTTGTGTTGCTTGAGCAGTGTGACATGGAGCTCCATCTTCCATAAATAGGGTGTCAACTTTGCTCATTTTACTACTTGAGAATATTGGAAGGAGCCCTTTCTTTAATATAGAAACATATTTGGTTGAATTAATGTTTCCTTCACACTCCACAAGCTCTGAGCGACCATCACTCCAAATTGCACCCTATACCATTACTGAAAGGCCGCCATGTTTCACCGTTGGCTGCAGTGTTTTTAAATCAAACTTTTGATTACAGAGTCTCCATACCCATACTCTTCCACTGTCGGAAAATAATGCCAATCCTTTCTGCATTTGATATTGGCTGGACGGAGAAGTAGTTTCCTGCTCGCAGCTCTGCCATAGTAGCCCAGCTTGTGAAGATACATGACAGCTGTTCTGGGACTGACATCAACTTGTTTTGCTACGTCAGAGGCCTTGCAACCTGGATCCTGTTCAACATTTCTTTCGACAAGTCGCATGGTTCTTTCAGAGGGACCAGGGTGGCCTGGATGAGGTTTTGTGCACTTCTTACCCTCTCTGATGAATTGTACGATGACTCTATTAACAGTAGAAAGGGGTATTGAAAGATTTTCAGATATTTTTCTTTGATTAAGACCACCTTCATATTGGCCCACGATACGTCCTCGCTGAAATTCGGATAAGTCTGATGCTCCTTTGGTTCGTGGCATGTTCCAGTATTGTTATCTGCAATTTTAATCAAATAATCTAAGTTAATTTATCTTGGTTATTAAAAAAAAATTAAAAATAAAATTTATCTTGGTGTCTATTCAATTCTGTCATGTCTTGATCGAGTGACAACACATCAGGGCCGATAACTAAGTATGGTCTGTCCAGTGTTTGTAAGAAATTGAAATCTTTGATATATAAACTATTTTAGATATTTTAAAGCTTGTGTGCTGTATTCTTAATTGATTTTGTTTTAATTTGTTAATATAGATAGTTTCGAGACTTTTTAGTTTCAGCTTATAATTTTCATGAAAATTATAGATTTTCAACAAGAATTTTTCTTATCTTCGAATGTGGACAGGTATGCTGTTGTAAAAGTTTAGAAATGTTAAGCATATCATTCAAATGAAAACTCAGCCGCCGGGAAAACTTTGTCGTAGTGTGTCTAACATAAACATTATTTTTAACGTTGGAGTTACAATCTCTGAGAGGACATTTAAATGTATAAACAATGCTGCTTTCTGCAACATGTTAGTAGATGGTGAAGAGTCGTTACGAATGATTGAATTAGATATACTAGATTTAATATAGTATATAATTCCTTTTATTTATTTTTTTACTTACGTGGGTGCTGGATATCTTAGTATTTATTAATGTTTGTTGCTTTCATTGGATGGCAGAGTAAGAACAATGTGGACAAATAAAGAACGCAATATTTTGAACGTACAATCAGAGATTTCACAAGCGATAATTACCAAATGACTAAACATGGAAAGATGAAATCTCGTCTAACTGTGCAGGTTGTGTGATAATATTGCCTTGGTGTAGAATTCCAAAAATCCTAGCGTATAGTCTGTAACTTGATAATTTAAAATCAGTTGGATTGGACACATCCAGAAATCCGAAAAGATCGTTTAAGACAATCGTACAACGCTGAAATCAATCAGGAAGGAACATCTGAGTGATCTAACCCAAGTTATTATAATTATTATTATTATTATTATTATTATTATTATTATTATTAATCCTTTAAGTTCTGGTGTATAGTCATTAATTTACGGGTTTCGACCAGAGACTTAAGGTCAGAAATGGCATCATGACATTTTCCACTGAACAATTTAAAAAAAAAGCACACATATTTTAAATAGATAAAGCACTTCATAAGGTGTGGGCTGTACTCGTGAGAATATTTTTTTTTGTATTTCTTTAAGTCACGGTCTACCAAGAATTCCTTCATGAATCTATTGAAATCTTTTCCAATCAATTCGAGGACTCCAGCTACAACTGGGATTGTCATATTTTTGAGATTTCGATTTCAACGATCCTTGTATTTTGATAGCGTTTTTAAAGACCTTCAAAGATACATTGCAGTCTGCAGGAATGTTATGGCAATATGGAAGCACAAATTGTCATTGCGGTCACTAATCTCGATGTCTGTGCAATTAGCTTTGGTTGTTTTGGGTTTTTTGTGGGGGTGGGGTTCTGTGTGTAAAGTCCCATAAAATTGTTACAGGTTCTATCTCTGTAACCTGGTCAGGGTGATGTTCATACCAGTTTCTTGCAGTTTCCTTCCCGTAAAAGTGGCATATTTTCCAATGCCTATATTGAGATTCTCTCTCCTGTCGAGTATTGTATTCAGTGGGTGGTAACACGTTGCAACCTGATATAAGATGATCCATTTTCTTGGGATATTTATCACATAATCTTCATTTCAGATAACACAATTTTTCAGTGTGTTTCTGATTATTATTATTATTATTATTATTATTAATTTGTTTTTTTATAAATATTTTCATGGTAATAGCTCTGAGGAACTTTCGTCTATGGTAACTAGATTCTATGGATTTAAACGCGTTGCTAGATTGGCGGCAAGCTCTCATCATATTACAATTGTAATGGTTAGAGGCCACCGTAAGTTCTCTGCTAACAATTTCTTCTCTCGAATTTCTCTCTCCGAGAACTCGCTTCTGGCTTCTTGCTTCCAAGTCAACACCGATCTTCAAAAATCTAAATGCAATGTCAATCGTTATGTTACTAACTCCTGTTCTTTTATTGTTCTCTTTCCTTAATACTGTGCTTTTATTAATATTCTTTCACACTCAGTAAGTACTTGTGTCTTAGAGCCTTTATTGCCTTGCTTGTGGGAGGGGGGGATAAAATGATAAAAATAAAAATGTAATGTTTTTCCCGTACAAACAAACGGCGAAGTGCGACTGTGATTTTTTTGTTGCATGTGGAGGAGGAAAGAAGCGTTGTTAAGTACACTTACGGGAGCGTAAACAAGAAAGAGGTCGACCGATGAAAACCGATATTGACCAACTGATAGAATACGGATCTAAGGTTAGA